TCATATCATCTACATAGATGAGTAATAAAACCCTGCCACGCGATGTAGTGCGAACAAACAGAGAAGCATCTTGATGACTTTCTATAAAGCCCGCTTTGAGCACAACATCGCGAAAACACTCAAACCAAGCGCGGGGTGCCTGTTTGAGACCATAAACAGCACGACGAAGGAGACATACATGTCCCGGAGGAATATTTGACCCTGGAGGCGGTTGCATATATACGGTCTCTGATAAAGAGCCATGAAGAAAAGCATTTTTGACATCCATCTGGTATAAGGGCCAACGATGAGCAGCAGCGACCGCAAGGAGAGTACGCACAGTGGGCATCTGAGCAACAGGAGCAAAGGTCTCCTCATAATCAATACCTTGTTGCTGAGTAAAACCTCTAGCCACTAAACGAGCTTTTCGACGTTCAATGGTGCCATCAGGACGAAACTTGACCTTATAAACCCATTTACTGCCAACAAGAGAGATCCCAGGAGGACAGGGAACAATATCCCAGGTATGAGTTTGCTGAAATGCTTGAAATTCCTCAGCCATAGCTTGTCGCCACTCTGGAATTTGAACTGCCTCTTGGAAGGACTTTGGCTCAACAATAGTATGAATGGCAGCAAGAAAGTTATGAAAGATAGGTGAATAAGAAGTAACAGAAGCATACCGGGCAGGCATGACATGTGGGCGTTTGCCTCGACGAAGAGCAAGAGGAACCTCAGGCGGGGGAGATGCTGGCGCAGGTGCATGAAGATCAACAGTATTTTCTGGAGTGAGAGTTGTGTCCACAGGATATGGATTAGATGGTGTAAGAGAAGACTCAGGTGAGGAAGAGTCAACAGAAGGAGAGGGAGAGATGTCAGGGAGATCTCGAAAGGAAAATTGAGGTGAAGAAGTGGGTGATGCAGTGGACGGGGAAGCATGATCGGTAGAGTGGAGGAAATTAAAGTCATCAGAAGTAGAATAATATGGAGAATCCTCTTCGAACTGAACATGACGAGATATATGAACTCGACGAGTTGCGGGATCATAACAACGATAACCTCGATGTTCTGAACTAATTCCTAAATAAACACAAGAAACTGCTCTGGGAGACAATTTATCACGTTCGTGAGATGGCAGAAAAACAAAACATCGACAACCAAAAACGCGAACTAGATCATAACGGGGAGGATGAGTATAAACACGACTATAAGGAGTAGCACCGGAAAGAGAGCTAGATGGAGTGATATTAATGGCATGAGTCGCGGTGAGAATAGCCTCAGCCCAGAAACGACGAGGAACAGAGTAAGAAATGAGCATTGATCGGGCAGTATCGAGGATATGACGATGTTTGCGTTCAGCAACACCATTTTGCTCATGAGTGTAGGGACATGACTGTTGAAAGATAGTCCCATGAGAGGACATGATAGAGCGCATGGCAGAGGATAGGTACTCTTTGGCACAATCAGAACGAAAAACTTTAATACGAGATTGCCATTGAGTGAAAATCATAGCAGTGAAGGCTTGATAAGCAGTAAGTACGTCAGAGCGATTCTTAAGTAGGTAAACCCATGTAAAACGAGAGAAATCGTCGATAAAACTAACATAATATAAGTAGCCAGATGAAGAAGGCAAAGGAGCTGGCCCCCAAATATCAGAATGTACTAAATCAAATAAGGAAGTGGATACAGATGTACTCATTTTAAATGGTAAAGCAGTGAATTTAGCCAATTTGCAACCAGCACATGACTCAATACTAGAACTAGATGATACAGGACCAAGTACTCCAGACTGAATAAGACTCTCCAGCCTTTTATTACACACATGACCAAGTCGTCTATGCCATAAATTGGCAGGAAGCGAGGTAGAGGGTTTTGACGAACAAAGAGAAGCAACAAGAGAACGTGGACGTATGGACTCTGGAAGGTGAAGATATTCCAGAAAATACAGTTTGTGCCTCCTACGACCCGCCCCAACCGTCTTGCCCGTCTGTGGATCCTGCACAATACAAGTATCAGAAGAAAATGAGACAAACAGGCCCGCCATGCATAAAGAGCTAATAGAAATTAAATTCAAGCACAATTGTGGAGCCACATAGACGGGACCAAGTGTTAGACGACCAGATGGATCATTTTGTGGGGTAATAGAGCCATACTGAGTAATGGACAATGGTTGTCCAGCAGCTGTGTAGATAGGAGGAAGAGAGGATGAAGTAAAGACAGAGGATAAAAGTGAGGCATTACAAGTCATATGAAAGGAACAACCAGAGTCAAAAATCCAGAGATCATTCATACCAGAGACTGAAGGATTAGCTGAAGAACCAGCAAAATGCATACCAGAGAGTTGTGCGGCGGATGTAGAGGTGATATGTTGAAAAGCATCAAGTTGACGGCGAAGACTTTCAATAGCTTGAATAGTAGAGTCTGAAGTAGTAGAAGGTATAGCATTGGCCAACAATCCTGGTGTACGAGAGGGTTGAGACTGAGGGGGTCGCCGACCACGTCCAGTACCTGAGGAACGTAACTCAGGATGAAGCTTGAAGCATGTCTCAATGCGGTGTCCTTCCTTCTTACAATATTTGCAAGAGAGCTTAGATCGAGCCTGTGGAGAGGGAGCCTGTGGAGAAGTATAATTCATAACAGGAGCAGTGACAGGTACAGACAAAACAGTCTCGAGTGAAGAGGTAGGAGTGTCTGTTGACAAATTGAGTCGTGCTGTCTGCTGCCGGGTCTCATAAGCAGTGAGAGCTCCCATAACTGAGGCCAAAGTCGGAAATTGAGGCTGGTGAAGTAGTTGATCAGCCATAGTTGAATATTCAGGAAGGGACTGAAACAATTGATGCACCTCATGCCGTTCGTACCAGGCTAGCCAGTCTTCATATGTGGAATTACGTCCAGGAAGCATGGAGCGTAACTCTGTCCAAAAAGCTTGCATTTGTCCAAAATGGGACTGCAGAGATGAACTACCTTTGCGTTGTAGAGAAATGCGTTGCAGAAGATATGCCTCCCGTGCACCCGAGCACTCAGTGAAACGCTCAGTGAGACGAGTCCACATGGCCTGAGCAGAGGGAAGCGAGCCAATCTCGACAGTGAGACCAGAGCCAACACAGCGAGTGAGATAATCCATAACACGAAATTCCTGCAATTGCCACTCTGAACTCTCCTTGACATAGAGAGCACGAGCAGTCTGAAGATCGACATCACCACTGCCAGAGGCAATAGTACTGGATGAAGCAACAGTGCTGATGGACGGTGGAACTGGTCCCGTACTGGTGAGATGATCAAGCAAACCAGCGCCACGCAAGGCATTGGTGACAATGGTGGACCACCCTGCCCAGTCACTTTGATCATTGAGGGGCAAAGGTGGTTTGGGAATCTTCTCTGAAGGAGCCATAACAGCAATCTTGAGACGTTAAGATGTCGAGATGCTGTTACTAATGTCGTTCGTTTGAGGCCGAGAGACGGCTTGAAACGACGATGCCGTTAATTTGAGACCGAGAGACGGTCTTGAAACGACAATGCCGTTAAAATAGAACCCGAAGGTTAGAATGAAACCCGAAGGTTTAAAATAGAACCCGAAGGTTAGAATGAAACCCGAAGGTTTAAAATAGAACCCGAAGGTTAGAATGAAACCCGAAGGTTTAAAATAGAACCCGAAGGTTAAACGAGAACGCGAAACGCGTTAAGAGGCCGCAAAACGACAAGGCCAAAATATCTGGCAGATGAACGCCAAATAATTAAAAAAAAAAAAAAATAAAAAAATAAAACATTAAACGGCTACAAAGCAATAAGGCCAAGATTTGGCAAAAGAACGCAAAAGCGTTAAAAATTTTATTGAAAGGGAAATAGCCCTTGCTCTGATACCATGTTAAAGTAAGAGAGAGAGAGAGAATCTTGGGTAAATTTCCCTTGAATTGAATATTGAGTGTGCACATATATTTATACAAGTAGAGGAGTGTGAGGTTTGTTCTCCCAAGCAATGTGGGACTAAAACCCACTACAATACACTATTATCAACAATTCCATTTCCATACATGATACAATTTATAGATACATGATAGAAGATAAAAGGATATCAAGTTAATAGTCCACATACAAAGTAATGTCCACATACATTTTATTTTTTAGATTTCCACAAAATGTCTTTTAGATTTCAACAATTACCATTTTTTTGTTGATATGAATTTTTCTTTGATTAGAGAAATTAAGTATCAAATTATTAATTTTGTATTTGATACATTTTATAATATTATTTTTTTGAACATGTAACATGTTTATTATTCCTGAGACATCTAATTAATATTATTTTTGCTCTATAATGTGTTTAATCTTTAGAGATAATTATTATTTTAGTGATACAAATTGGATTGTTAGAATTTTTAAGTTTTATAGAGGTAATCTTACCAAAATGGTAAATGAATCTTTTGAATGGGATCATATGATTATCACTTTACAAGTTTACATCATTCAATCCAAACAAGAGTATTACCATGATTTTTGGATTCACAAGAAATCCAAACTAAACAATGTAAAAGCTATAAATAGAGAGCGATAAAGTGGATAACCATTTTCCATGGGATGCCATAAATTGCCACCTTCGTTCAAGACATCCAAATAGCCCCTTAATCATGTCATATAAGGATAAGATTTAAATCTTTTAGGATGCCTCATTAGCTTAATTTTCCACGTTACCCATTCCTTCGGCCATATAGCCCTTTGTTTTAGTGCCGTTGGTTTACTTGACCGGGTCTTTTTTTAAAGGGAAACAAACAAAATGGTATGGCCCACTTAGTGTACTGCAGACCATACGTCTCTAGATGAGAGATTGCAAGTCTTTTTCTTTTTTTTCCCGTGGAATACTAATTAAAAACCCAAATCACATAGTTCATACTATTGGACGATAGGATTAACTAATTAGACAGAGACAAGTATATCAACCAATTCCCTCGTGATCTCATTAAATAATTTGCGGTCTCAGATTTTCGCAAAGATAAACTCTATAAATAGAGCCCGAGGGCAGAGGCAGTATGGCATCAATCAAGCTGTAGAAAATTAATTAAGAAGAAGCAATTATATATATAAGGCGAAAAATGACCAAGAGTGCGGCAGCGATTCCGGTGTTCCTGTTTGCAGCCATCGGGCTCTTGGCTGCCACTTGCGCTGCCCGTTCTCATGTTTTTCTCCCATCTGAAAGCAACGGTACCGTTCTAGAAAGTTACACATCCTAGACGGAAAATTCCGTCTAGGAAAATCAAAATTCCGTCTAGACTGAGTATTCTAGACGGAATTCCGTCTAGAATACCCGTCTAGGAAGTTTCCGTCTAGAATATTGTATTCTAAACGGAAATTCCGTCTAGAATACATCCTAGACTGATTATTCTAGACGGAATTCAAAACCGTCTAGAATACATCCTAGACGGAGTATCCTAGACGGAAATTTCCGTCTAGAATACTTCATTCTAGACGGAAAAAATTTCCGTCTAGAATAGGTATCCTAGACGGAAATTTCCGTCTAGGATACCCATACTAGACGGAATTTCCGTTTTATATTTTTTTTTTAAATTTTTTTATTAAAAAAACCATTCTAGATGGAATTTGAGCATCCTAGACGGAATTTTCGTCTAGGATGCTATGCTACAGTTTTTTTTTTGTGCTTTCTTGGTATCCAGGCTCATCCTTCATCCATTTTAAGAAGCATGTACAATACACCAAGATCATCTTTGTAAGGTAAACAATGTGCCCAAAATCCATAAACAAATTACCTGACGTCAACATGAATAACAAAGCAATTTATGCAACCAAATACATGGTAGAATTGAATATATGTAAGTGATCATATAATTCATATAATTAACTACAAGAATGGAATCTTTGCATGAGTACAAATTACTACAAAAACCTCAATAAAAATAAAAAAACACAAAAAACAACAAAAATTTAAGAACTAAACTGCAACTGAGTTGCTAATCAAGCTGCATCCTCGCTGCCTAGCATCAGATCTGACGACCAGAACGCTACTCCTCCATCCTACACCCAAAAAACAAAACATCACAATTTCAACTCTTCAAATATTTAGCATAGAACTTAAGTTCTGGTATATGCTAAAATTAAATATTTATAAGTTATAACTTCTATTTCATGCAACTCAGGCATATAACTTATAAATATTTATAAATTATAACTCCACTTAATTTTAGCATAGAACTTATAAAAGATTAATCTTTTATAAGTTATAACTTCTATTTCATGTAACTCAGGCATTTTAATAGATGTATCTAGCATGTAATATAAAATAAGTAAATTTTGTCCCATGGATGAATCTTTTAACATTTTCTGCATTTTGTATCCCATTATCACTTAAAAATTGCAACAATAGACAATGTTAACTGGTTGCCAACTATTGAGGAAAACAGATATATCAGTCTAAATGATGTACCTGAGCTATGTAATCCTTCAACTTAATGCTGATGGACTCATGTAATGCTCGTTCAGCAAGCTCATACATCACACTATTGCCATCTGGGCCACTAGTTTTTTCCTTCTGTAAATATCTGAAAGAAAAACTAATTTAAAGAACAGAATGAACTACAAGATGCAGTAAGAGACATCCTTACCTTTGCTGCACAAGTACCTCCAGTGTTTGCTTAGTGCTTCCAAAGAACACATGGTCTTCATCACTGTCATTTTACTAAGAACACATGGTCTTCATCACTGTCATTTTACTCCCATTCTGTCCACCAGTCGATTTCTCAATAAAGCCACTGAGTACACGAGATGTGAGAATAACCAGTATCAAGTTAGAATTTACTTGTGAAACAAGAAAGTTAGATGAGTATTGTAGGCATCTAAAAATGCCTATAGGTATGAATATACCTATCTAAGTCAAAGAAGATCATCCATAGTCAAAAGAAGCAAAGGAACATGTGAAATAACACAGAAGAACAATATGAACACCCGCGATAAGGAACACTGACGCGCATAGGCGCGGTAGTGGAAGGTGTTGTGCTCACAAACAGAGTAATGTGCTTATGGAAAGTTGTAGAGCTCTTCGATAGCTTTCCAATGCATCTTGGATCACCTCATTCCGACATCGGACGAGGAAGTTAGAGCCAAAATACCCGAGACAACGCAAACTGCCTCGGAGGTGCGCGGCAGTGATAACTACCGCGGCAATAGCGCGGTAGTACGTGGTGTTGCGCAAGTAAACAGAGTGAAGCGCCAATGGAAAGTTGTAGATCTCTTCGTTAGCTTTCCAACGTATCTTGGATCACCTCATTCCGACATCGAACGAGGAAGTTAGAGCCAAAATACCCGAGACAACGCAAACTGCCTCGGAGGTGCGCGGCAGTGATAATTGCCGCGGCAATAGCGTGGTAGTACGTGGTGTCGCACAAGTAAACAGAGTGAAGCGCCAATAAGAAGTTGTAGATCTCTTCGTTAGCTTTCCAACGCATCTTGGATCACCTCATTCCGACATCGAACGAGGAAGTTAGAGCCAAAATACCCGAGACAACGCAAACTGCCTCGGAGGTGCGCGGCAGTGATAATTGCCGCGGCAATAGCGTGGTAGTACGTGGTGTCGCACAAGTAAACAGAGTGAAGCGCCAATAAGAAGTTGTAGATCTCTTCGTTAGCTTTCCAACGCATCTTGGATCACCTCATTCCGACATCGGACGAGGAAGTTAGAGCCAAAATACCCGAGACAACGCAAACTGCCTCGGAGGTGCGCGACAGTGATAACTGCCGTCGCAATAGCACGGCAGTACGTAGTGTCGCACAAGTAAACAAAGTGAAGCGCCAATGGGAAGTTGTAGATCTCTTCGTTAGCTTTCCAACGCATCTTGGATCACCTCATTCCGACATCGGACGAGGAAGTTATAGCCAAAATACCCGAGACAACGCAAACTGCCTCGGAGGTGCGCGGCAGTGATAACTGCCGAGGCAATAGCGCGGCAGTACGTGGTGTCGCGCAAGTAAACAGAGTGAAGCGCCAATGGGAAGTTGTAGATCTCTTCGTTAGCTTTCCAACGCATCTTGGATCACCTCATTCCGACATCGGACGAGGAAGTTAGAGCCAAAATACCCGAGACAACGCAAACTGCCTCGGAGGTGCGCGGCAGTGATAACTGTCGCGGCAATAGCGCGGCAGTACGTGGTGTCGCGCAAGTAAACAGAGTGAAGCGCCAATGGGAAGTTGTAGATCTCTTCGTCAGCGCGAACGGTCTCAGAGGTGCGCGGCAGTAGCGACTGCCGCGGAAATGTATTGCACATTTAAGCCATAATATGTTTCAAATATGAAGAAGCTCAAAAGACAAAAGTTGTAGATCTCTTCGTCAGCTTTTCAACGCATCTTAGATCACCTCATTCCGACATCGAATAAGAAAGTTAGAGTGAAAATACCCGAAAGGTACGCGGCAGTAATAACTGCCGTGGCAATGCGCGACACTGTACACTGCCGCGGCCACTCAGAAGCTGAACACGTCATTTCTGATAGTTTTCTCGAGTTTTGTGCAGCCCACATGACTTATTAACTGCTGGGGGATACTTATGAACGTGGGGGAAGCAGTTACAAGCGAAAATCATGCCTACTACCCACGAAAATCGTGACATTTAAGGAGTTAAAAGTCGTGGGATGGCGATTACAAAAACAGGGGGGAACCACTCCTTTGACCGTGACAGCAACGACTGCCGCGCCAAAGGATTCTCTTCAGCCGCGACACCTATGGCTGCCGCGCCCAAAAGGGTAGTTGCTGATCGGTTATTTTCTCCAGTTATCATCCAAGAAGACTATAAATACCCTCCTAGGGCTATCATTGAAAAGGGGTAGATTGGAGAGAGCATTTTGGAGCATTTTGGAGCATTTTGGAGCAGAAGAGACTTGAGCTTTTGATGATTTTGAGGAAGAAAGTGAGAACTTTCACCCTTTGACAAGGATCATTCGGTGATTCCTAGAGATCTAAGCTCAGACTTGATCTTTGGAAGAGTGAACATCTTACATCGATAAGATATTCGCTTTCAAATCTTTACTTCGATAAACGAAGAAAATATCCCTAAACACCCTCACGATCTGTGAATTGGTGGTCAACGAGCCAAAACACTCCCGGCACAGGCAAAGTCCCACAAAAGCATGAGTTGATAGACAATTTCTGTGTTATTTTCTCGAGAGTTGTATTTTCGTTTATTTTCATTGTAATTTCCTGTAAACAAATCAAAGTTTTAATGGAATCGACAATGGAGTCAACTTTCGCTGAAAACAAGTATCTGCGGAAAACTCAAGGATAAACTATTAAACACTATTGTTGTGACTAATATCAAATCAAACTCATACGTGGAAAAAATATTTATAAAAAAAAGCGAAAAAAGGAAGTCTAACCTAACTCCTTGAGATCCATCAAAAGTGCACAAACCAATCCTGGAACAAACCTTGTCTGGTTGTTCCCGCAAAAATTAACAGGGACTCAGAGCATTTAACATGCATAACGATGTGGAAAACTAAACCAAATTTAAATGCAAAATCAACGTCACAACTTTAGCCCATGAATATAGATCATATTGATTAATAGTAATATATAATAATTAATAACGATAATATATATATTGCTATTCCCATGACATTAATGTTGCAGGAGAACTGGGAGTCGCACGTCTCGGCAACGACTTCGATCTAATTCCCTGCAACGAGTGTGGCGACATTTGCCTACTGACATTCCCACCGCGATGCCAGTGCAAGGATGTGACTCCTGATTGCCGCCCAGGCTGCACACTCTGTGAAGAAGTTTTCTACGGGAATGTAGTAATTAAAGGTCACCGCTGCCTGGACTTTGACTTCTACGACTGCAAGAACCTGCCCACCACCGCTACTCCCAAACCAATCAACTGATCAAATCCATCTTTGTATTGTATGCTGCTAGCTACCGCAGCTAACTATCTATGCTGGCTGCTTAATTAAATAAGAGAGGAATGCCAAATGAATGAATGATTGTATGGCGACGGTGTTGTTATTAATCAATGCTAGCTATCTACCTATTTAAAAATAATGAGAGATCGAGGAACGGAAACTCTCTGGTGAATTTCCTCGGCATCATAAACTTCATTGGGCAACCCAAGTGCTCCAGCTCCTCCGCCCTTTTCTTCTTCAATCTCGTTGACTTCCGCTTCAATTGCTTTGTCATTCACTACGCTCTTTAATTAAGATTTTGTTGGGTGTATAAGGTATGGGTGATCAGGATTTCTTTTGGGTGTTGATAAAACAAGGAAGAGGTGTAGAATCTTTTAATTGATATAAATCATACAAAATAGATCTAGGGTTTCTAATAAGATTTCAAGAATAAACCCTAGAAATATAATTAGAAGCTGTGATTAATTCAAAGAGATTAAAACAAGAATGAAGAGCGGAAGCAATACCTAGTATCTATAATTCGGCCCCTTATTTATAGATGTTGTATATTTATAATTCGGCCTCTCATCAAATTATAATTACAACCTGGTATCTACACAATTAGACCATGATTAAATTAAATACTCATTGACCCAAATTAACTAATTGATCACTTTATGTGGGTCAACCTTAAAGATAACAATACACATTGATGTAACATATATGCCCATAAATAGATTTAATTAGATTTAAATCCAACAATCTCCCACTTGGGTATCATATATTTCCTTAAAATGTGTATAACCTTATGAGCTCAAAAATAGCTATCACTAATAAGGATATTTCCAAATAATCTCGTCAATTGACTATATCTATATAGGATCAAAGAGGTTTTCGTCACATTTATCGTGACTAAACCCATCAATGATCACATATACCAATACAATCAAATAACATTAGATGCCTCATAGCAAGCTACAAACTCTGCTGCTATAGTAGAGGAAGCTACAAACGTATGTTTGACACTTTTCCATGATATAGCTTCTCCTGCTAATATATAAATGTAGTCTGATGTAGATTTTCTGCTATCTTGACATCCAGCAAAATCAGAATCTGAGTACCCAATAACCTTCAACTATTCTGATTTTCTGTATGTGATCATATAATCTTTTGTTTTCTTAAGATACCTCATAACTCTTTTGACTGCTATCCAATGATCCGTACCAGGGTTGTTTAAGTATCTGCCTAAATACCAAAAATATATGCAATATGTGGACACGTACACACCTGAGCATACATTAGACTTCCTACAGCCGAAGTATAAGGAATCTTCTGCATTTTTTGAATTTCAATGTTACCTTTAGGGCATTGATTAAGACTAAACTTGTCTCCTTTAGCAATAGAGGTGTCACATGGTCTGCAGTATTGTATGTCAAACCTTTTGAGTACTTTATCGATATAGCTCTTTTATGATAATCCAAGTATACCTCGAGAACGATCTCAATGTATTTGAATTCTTAATATAAAAGAAACGTTCCTAAGATCTTTTATCTTAAAATTCTTTGAAAGAAATCTCTTGATTTTGTGCAACATGCCTATATCATTAGTGGCAAGTAATATGTCATCGACATACAGAACCACGAAAATATACTTACTCCCACTGAACTTGTGATATACACAGTCATGAACAATATTCATCTCAAAACCAAACGAGATAATTATTTATTGAAACTTATGATACCATTGATGAGGAGCTTGCTTGAGTCCATAGATATATTTTCTTAATTTGTAAACCATATTCTTTGACTCTCTGGACACAAAGTTTTCTGGTTGCACCATATAGATCATTTCATCAATGTTTCCATTGAAAAACACAGTCTTAACATCCATCTGATGTAACTCAAGATCAAAATAAGCAACAAGTGTCATTATTATTCTGAAAGAGTCTTTCGACAAAACCGAAGAGAAAGTCTCTGTATAATCAATGCATTCCTTTTGAGTATAGTCTTTTGCTAAAAGACGTGCCTTATACCTCTCCACATTACCATTTAGATCCCGCTTAGTTTTAAATATCCATTTACAACCAATTGGTTTTGCACCTTCTGGTAATAGAACAAGTTCCCAAAACTTATTGTTTTGCGTAGACTTGTACTCTTTATTCATGGCATCAATCCATTTTTGAGAGTTAGAACTTTTCATGGCATGAAAAAAGTTGATAGGATCATCTTCCAACATTCTATTATTTTCCTCACGTTCTTGGAGAAATACAATATAATCATCTGGAATGGTATTTCTCCTTTCTCTCGTGGATCTCCTTAATGACATTGGTTCTTGAGGTTGTTAAGTTTGTTCTTCTAGAACAGGAAGTTATTTAACATCGTTTTCTTGAGGCTCCAGATTCAATTCTTGATCAATAACAGATATAGGAACCGAAAAATTATCAAAATTGACAGTATGGATTGGGTCTGAAGCCAATTCCTCCTAAAAAACATTGTCTCTAACCTTATTTCTCCCCGCAAACTCAACATCCTCAAAAAATATTGTTGTTCCCATCTCAAAAATAGTCTTGAGTGTGGGATCATAAAACTTATAGCCTCTAGATCGTTTAGAATACCTAATGAAGTAGCTGCTAACTGTTTTGGAGTCCAATTTTTTTTAAATTTGGCCTATAAGGCCTTGGCTCAGCTGGACATCTCCAAATGTGTAAATGCTTTAGACTGGGCTTTTGACCAGTCTAAAGCTTATAAGGTGTTTTAGCAACTGCTTTACTTGGTACTCTGTTCAGAATGTAAGCTACTATCTTTAATTCTTTTTCCCAGCGTGACTCTAGTAAAGAAGAATAAGAAATCATACTTCTTACCATATCCTTAAGAGTCATGTTTTGTCTTTCAGCTACACCATTCATGTTTGGTGATCCTAACATGGTGTACTATGGGACGATACTGTATTCCTCTAGGTATTTAGCAAATAGTCCTTGTTTGTTGGAAATTTACAGTAAAAAGACAATGAAAGAAAAATTGATTTGTATTCTCTCAAAATCGATTACAATTTGGATTCTGATTACAAAAGAGAGGAGAATGAATTTGATTCTCCCCTTTGTTTAAGTCTGGGTTCTTCACGGTGGCGATGGAGTGCCTCCCTCGAATGCTCACGTCGAGTTTGCTCTCCGTTGACGATCCGCACGTCTTTATTCACTGGAACGTGGTCTTCTCCTCACGATTTGACGTTATGGAGGACTTGCATGGCATGTTTGAAAATAACCCTTAACGAGTTAATAACTCAGAGTGAGTTTTAGAAGAACTTACAGAACAAGTTAGAAACTCTGGACGAGTTGATAACTCAGATCGAGTTTAACTCTGAACGAGTTTGAACTCTTGAAAAAGAGTTGATTTGAACCAAAAGTTCGGTTAATCAATCAAGAGAATGCTCTAAGGATTTTGTTGCTACCGAAAGCTCCCAGAATCCCCCCAAAAGGTCAGTCGAAGATCTCTTCTTTGTTGCCCATAAAAAAGCCCCCGAACTCAGTTGAGTTTTGAAGTATTTATAGGAGATTAAGGGGGTGTAACCGCCCCCTTAATTCGCTCCTGAGTGGGTGAGAATCCCTCATATTGTGGGATAAACGGTTGTCAAGCCGTTCAACTTGTGTTTGAACAAGTCAAACGCCTAATTTGGCGTTCTGGACCTTAACTCTGCGTCTAAGGCCTGAGACGCAGAGTTAAACCTTTGTCAAAGGTTTGAAACGTACATGCCGCATGCGTTCTGGAATTGGAGACGCACAGGTCGCTTGTGCGTTGAAATTCAACTCTGCATCAAGAGTTTGGGACGCATGGTTGAGTTTGTTGAAGAACGCACGTTGTGTGTGCGTTTGTGCTTTAACTATGCGTCACAAAGTTAGATGTCTGCTGGAGAACGCACAGTCCGTGTGCGTTTTGTGTTTGGGAAACGCAGTGGTGGGTTCTGCATGGACTCTGCGCTTTGAGTCCACGAACTCTGCATTTGGCATCTGGAACGCAGTCACGACCTCTGCGTTTTTTGATCTGGAACGCAGCCATGACTTCTGCGTTTTGAATCTGGAACGCAGTCACGACCTCTGCGTTTTGGATCTGGAACGCAGCCACGACCTCTGCGTTTTGAGTTTAGAACGCGGGCACGACCTCTGCGTTTTGAGTTTAGAACGCAGGTACGACCTCTGCGTTTTGAATCTTGGATACAGAGGTGAGCCTTAGGTGGGCTCGGCGAACTTCAGGCTAAGTCCAATGTTCAGACGAAGTCCAATCTTGCAGACGGACTTCAGAACATAACTTGCTGCGAAGAACAGGTCATAACTTTTAAACCGTAAGTCGGAATTGGACGAATTATATATGAAAATCGGCTATCTCGACGAGACGGAGCCGACCAAACCAACCCCATGGGTTCGGTTTGCTCTGTTTTCTACTAGTGTAAGTTCAACAATGGCGACCGACTAAAATCAGTTGCGAATATGTGGTTGCCGATTGTCTGTTTTCTACTACGTACTAATATAAGCATCATATGGACTGTAAGATAATATAATATATAAACTATAAATATTTGGATTTTCGTTACAAATTAATATTTGTCAACCTGATAGCAATATGTTTTATAGCGTTGTTTTCTTTTAAGATATCATTAAGTACTTTTTGTACCGTTCATGAACTGCACGATTCTAGTTGTGGATTGCAAATCCCAGACATCCAATGTTGTAAATATGACTCTAAACACAGACCAGAGTGAAATACATGCCTAGGAGTCAATGTCTACATTGATCACCTGTAAGCGATGGTGACTATTCTATATCATTGTCATCTCTTACCTTTTTTGGTTCTTTGGCTGCTTCACTTGTCGATTTAAAATATTACTCCTGAGAATTGGTTTTAACTGGTTGTAGGCTTCTCACGGTGTCCATGACAAACAAAATTATTGGTTATTGTTGAAGAGGTTAATTAAAACTACAATTAATGCCCGTAACTGACACTAGTAGAAAAACGACCAATCTAGACGGAACAACCTAGACGGAAAATATTTCCGTCTAGGTTGAATCAAACTAGACGAAAATTTTTCGTCTAGGTTGGGTCAAACTATATGGAAAATTCCGTCTAGTTTAACAAATGAGACGGAAAAGTCAACCTAGACGGAATTTCGTCTAGGTTGATAGGCAACCTAAACGGAATTCCG